CTTAAATATCATTTCCTCTAAAAATATGCTTTACCCTTAAAAACATACTTACCCTAGAAGAGAATTATACTTACCGTAAAAGCTAGACATGACTAATCATGCTTTACCAAGTTTGTGCCCTAAACACCACTGACCCTTTTAACTTATTATAAAACAAAAATGTCACTCTTATCATATTTTTCATATCACATTTGTATCATATGTTTAATAAATATTAGATCCATATGTGTTAATGAATTCTACCTCTATTAGATAAACGATACAAATATATTATAAAAAATATAATAAGTGCAGTATTACTCAATTAAAAAAAATGACTGAAAAAATGTCTCATATCACATACCAAATAAATCTTTCTATTGAAAAGGAGAGATCTCACACACAAGAATATTGTCCTTCCCAATAGCAAGAGCTGCAAAAGCACCTCACTACTAGACAGCACCATAGATAGAAGTAGAACTATTGAGTCATTTGACATTAGTGTCTTAGCTAGAGAGAGAGAGAGAGAGAGAGAGAGAGAGAGAGAGAGAAAGAACATCCCTCACAATCTCAGTCGCTCCCCCACTTCTCTGAAAAATCTCAACAGAGATTCATACATTAACAGTTCTAAACACCCACCTTACTATTAGACAGCACCATAGATAGAAGTAGAACTATTGAGTCATTTGACATTAGTGTCTTAGCTAGAGAGAGAGAGAGAGAGAGAGGGAGAGAACATCCCTCACAATCTCAGTCGCTCCCCCACTTCTCTGAAAAATCTCAAGAGAGATTCATACATTGACAGTTCTAAACACCTCTCTTCAATGTTGTCATCAAATGGTAGTGACCAAACCAACCTCAACACAACCGGTACTTCATCCAGGTCGTCCTCCTCATCCCCATCACCAGTTTCACAACCCTCCTCCTTCCAAACCCCACAAAGAACCATGGAAGAGGTTTGGAAAGACATCAATCTCGCCTCTCTCACTGAATCCACCACCCAAATCAGATCCTCCTCCTCCTCCTCACCGCTCCTTCACGGTAACCTCCCAAATGGGACCCACCGCCACCACCCAAACTGCAGAAATATGACCCTTCAAGAATTCCTTGCCAAACCCTTTGCCCATGACTCACCAGCTGCGGCCACCGCCTTGGTATCCTCCGCTGTCAGCCCTCCCTCTCCTCTTCCTTCATCCTCCCTCAGGCCTCCGAGGTCCGGCTTCATTGATCATCATCAGCTAAACCCTAATAACCTTTCTAGCAGTGTTTCTAACTCTTTCAGTGGTTGCCCATTTGAGAGCTTGGCTGCTTCCTCCTCCGGCTTGCCTTCTTTTGGGAATAGATCGTTCACTGAATCTGATCACAGCAATTCCGGTGGAGATGGAAGACATAAGCGGATGATCAAGAACCGAGAGTCTGCTGCTCGATCTAGGGCAAGAAAGCAGGCATGTACCTCTCCTATATTCTTCCCAATAATCCCATTTTTGTCATCTGATTAGTCTTTTGCTTTTTGCTTTTGGTTAGGGTAGTAGTGAAGTTGGATAAAGTGTTCTTTTATGAGTTGTAGGTTTTTGTACAGTTCCGTTTTAATTTTGCTCCTTCACTCTAAGGGCAGTTTAAGTAAGTGGAGTATTATCTCTACTAATCTCTTTTCTACTAATTAATGAAATTCTTTTTGTTAATTAAAAGAGGATGAAAAAACAACTTAATCTTTTATCATACAAAAAAAAATAATGGGCAATAATGTAATTTTACAAGTTTAAATTTTACTGTTTTTTATTGAAGTCTCACCTAAATTGATGTTAAAATTCCTCAAATATTATAAAATTAAAAAAAAAAAAAAAACTTCACTCCCCTCACGTTCTCTCTCTCCCTCTCTCATTCTCATTTTCTGAAAAAAAATGTATTCATACACACAAAGTGTATAGGCAAATACTAATATATAAGAATCAGTCAACCTGAGATTGATACTTATAACATTACTGCCGCATTAGTGTGAGTTTAATATATTAGTATCATACTCAAAATTTTCGACGTATTGTAGAAGTTATATATGAGTCTAATATATTGGTATCACACAATTTTTCCGGCATCCTGAAAGACCTAATTAGTTTTATTGTCCTTTCAAGTTTGATGCCTTGGCGTCTTAGTTTTATTGTCGAGAATGTTACTAAAATTTTTACTAAAAATGTCTTTCGTTTTTTGTTTGTGGCCTGATATTTGGTTGGTCCAAACAGGCTTACACAAATGAGTTGGAGCTGAAAGTTGCACTCTTGATGGAAGAGAATGCAAGGCTCAAAAGACAGCAAGAACATGTGAGAACATAAGACTGAATAAAATTCTATGTCTAAAACAGTAATTATACATGTTTTTCTGTGATTTTGACTTCTGTTTGTTTGGTGGGAAAATGTGTATGCAGTTAATTGCAGCAGCGTCTCAACAACCCAAAAGGCACAATCTCAATCGAACATCAACAGCTCCGTTTTGAGAAATCTCAGTGCCTTGCTTTTTTGTTTGAAGGTCTTCCTTTTTAAGACTTAAGAGTAGTAGCATTACTACCCATGTTGGGGGCATCAATATTTTGTGGTAATATGAAGATGGTGCATGTACCTTTTCCGTAAGTAGATGTTTTAGGGTTAGAATATTCTAACGATGACGTTTTATGTATTTATGTTAAAAGAAGTAATTCCCCATTAAGGAACTTAATTTGGTGTGTATTCTTTGCTTGCTTGTTTGTTTGTCTCTATCTTTTTCTTCCCTTCTCTTTTGGATTGCAACTTTTTCGCTCTCATTAACTACATTCAAATTACAATACAAGTCATGAGGTTACAAATGAATGATTAGGAGACTCTTCGTGGACTTTACTTTTTGTTACATTGTTTTTGACATAATATTTTATAATATTAGCTCGAGAATTAACGTTAAACTGTGAGGTGACATAGTCTATGGAGAGTTTCAATCTGAGTTTCCCTAGTATTTCCTTTCTAGGGTAATGCTAGGAAGACTAAAATTATTAAATCAAATTTACAAACCAAATAACATGGTTGTTAATGATTGAATTATTACTTAAGTATTGATTAATGTGTTTATCTTTTATTGGTAACACGTCATTTGGTTTAAAACTTTGGTTTTTCCAACATTATCCTTCTCTTAATAAGGAAAAAATATTTGACCATAAATCTATTGTCACCATGTAATTAAGAAAACGAGTCCCATAATATTCATGTAGAAAGTACAAATAAAGAACACAAATAAAAGTTTCTGCAAACAGATGAAACTGTAGTTTTATACGTAAAGAACCAAGTATTTCTTTCATGGAATTATTGAAGTGTTTATATCTAGGATAAGTGGGAATCACAAGAAGGACAATTAACAGGGTGCCAAGAATCCGAAACTAATTTGGGCCAATTGCTTTTTACAACTTATCACTTTATCTTAATCGGAATTAGATCCTCTCCTGAATTTGGACTTAATATCCTCCTGACCGACACATAAGAATCGTTAGATTTTAATCCAACGGTTACAATTATTATAATTTTTAGAAAGCTTCCCTATTTGTAACCGTTAGATTTTTATGTGTCGATCAGAAGGGTCCTGAGCAGCTCAGGAAAGAATCCAATTCCATCTTAATCAAAGCCTATGAGGCGGTTATACAAACTCTTTGTTTCTCACAAGAAGGACAATTAATAGTGGCTGCCATGGATGTCCTATGCTGTCGGTTTCTATTGGCATCCTTGGTCATTGAGTTACTTTGCCAAGCTGACATGATCCAATAGGAATATAGGATGACATAAAAGAGCATCATTGACATTGACATTGTGGCTAAATAAATAATGTCGCCATATCCTTTTTTCTGGGGATTTTCATGATTTCGTGATTGTGATCGTTCATCGTTCATCGTGCATTATACGATCAATTTTCATTAGGTAATATTTATATTTAATTTTAAATTTTAAAATTTAAAATGATTTCTGACCGTACGATATACGATAAACAATCACGATTACGAAATTCCTAAACCCTTTCTATAAATAATAATTCATTTTTTTTGACAATCAATAAAATAATTATACTAAGTTCATTTAAATTATGTAAAGAGAGATTCGAACTTTATCTAAATTATCTAATTTATGGAAAGAAAGATTTCAACTTGAGTGCATATAATGTAGAGCACATCTAATTTAACAAAAATCCTTATAAAAATCAAAATTGGATTTTGAGTTTCTTGTGCATTTGAGAAACCCTAGCTCTTATGACAAAGAGAAACCCTAACACATATTTGACCCAAATTTGAGATTTGAGTCCTAGCATGGATTTGTTCACAAGTGTTTCTTTAATGTCTCAAAATTGTTAATCATATATGCCCTATACGATCTAGCTATGTTCGTCTCCCTATCAAGTATTTCTTTAGTAGTCATCTTTTTCATGGCAATTCACTTTCTCGAAGACTGTAAAGACTCAAAGAGACATTTTAGATTTTTTTTTAACCATCATCGTGTGATTCACCAACTTTATGAATCAAAGTAAAAAGTTTAGGTGTAAGAATTACACTGTTATTAATTCACGTGTTATAAAATTGTATATAGTTGAATGACATGTCAAGGACAGAACCCTTGATTTTTCAATTAATAAATACAACATGGATGCATGATGATTACATCAAGAAATTCGTAATGCTTGTTAAACTGTGTACTTAAGTGCAGTCAGTAAGTTTGTATAATTAGTGTGAGGAAGCTTGAACATCTCATCCGTTGTCGTCCAGCGGTTAGGATATCTGGCTTTCACCCAGGAGACCCGGGTTCGATTCCCGGCAACGGAACCTTTTTTATAATTATGTTCAATATTTTTCTGGGCTTCAATTTGGGCTTTGTCTACTTTTCTTCCAATTCTTTTCAAGGCTCTAATTGGGCTTCAGATAATTTCTGTTCCTTTTTGGCCCTGAATGTTTGATTTTTTTTTTTTTTAATGTGATATTCTAAAAAATAATAGTTGCTCTAAATTATGGAGATGGCGATTCAAAATCGGGTGCAAGGAAGCGGGGATGCTTTTTTTGAATTTTATTTCATTTTTGTTATGTGTCAACATGTCGTTGTTGTTTCATTTTATAATGCGATATTCTAAACTATTCTAATATATAGAGATGGAGATTCAAACTCTAATATGACGAAGACAAGAATTTGAACTTGAGTACAAGGACATTGCTCTGACCAAATAGCCTAAAATGTTGTTGATTTGGTTTTGGCTCTTTGTCTTTTTTTCTCTCACAAGGATTTGGTGGGGGAAGTGAACATTGTTTCTTTTTCAACTTCCACACAACTTTTAGAACCCAGAACTATGAAAAGAAGAAAAATAAAACATAATCTCCTCAGTGAGCAACTCCACCACCTGAGACTTGTCAACTCCTCCCACCGGAAACCGGCAGAGCGGGCACGTCGTCCGGCATGCATCGAACCACTTATCCACACATACCTTGTGAAACTCGTGCAGGCAAGGAAGAACTCTCATGTCCTCTTCACCTTCCACCAATCTTGACAAACACACACAACATACCTCATCGTCCCTCAAACTGGAAAATTCTTGAGAAACAAGCAATCCCTCTTCCTCTACTTTCTTCCCAACATCTGATTCGATTGCCTCACGAGCACACGGAGATCCCTTAACTAACGCCGGATGCTCTCTCGGGCCGAAGAAACTAGAGATCAAAGCGAATGCCCTTTTGAGAACCATTTGGTTTAGTGAAGGATTGGCGTTTGGGGAGGTGTTTAATAGAGAGTTTGAAGTTGAAGGGAGAGTGTGAGAGTGATGGGTCCTCAGTTGTTTTGCGTGGGTTGCAAGGGTTGTTATAGCAAGGAAAGATTTCCCAAGTTCTTTCTCAAAGGCAGTTGCACCTAAAGAGAGTGTTACTCTTGACCTTTCTTTAATTTGATTAATCACAATTAGAGTAATAATTAGGTTTCCTTTCTCCAGCATATTGCTTCTTTTTTTTATTGCTTTTTATCTAAAATGGTCACTGCGATTGGTATAACTCCTCACTTTGGCACTTGAAATTTAAAATCGATAGAAGTGGTCCCGGAGATTGTTCATCGCTAATCATTTTGATCTTCCCGTGAAAATATGTTAAATTGAGGGTATTTTTGTCAAATCAACCCTCCACTTTGTGATTTCTTCAATTTAACGAAGATTTTTCACAGAATGACCAAATGATCATTTCTGTTGACTTCAAATATCATAGACCAAAGTGAGGAGTTATGACAATCTCAGAGACCATTTTGGCTAATAAGCCTTTTCTATTGGTGTACAAGACCCGTTATTGGTCATTGCTCGACTCTTTACACGTAAGAAGAAATTTCTCCTTACATGCGAATCAATGTACAACAAATATTAAAAAATAACTCGTTAAAATTATGAAAGATTTGTGCACGCGTGTCATATTGTGATTTGTCTGTAAAGAAGAACCAGTCCTTTCACTTCTTCACTTCCTGTGACCCATGAAATGCCTGGGTCAAACTACTTGCTGGTAGAAGGTAAATTAATGTCAAAACTTTGTGAAACTTGGATATCAAAATACACTATGGATGAAATTCATAGGGGACCTAACTCATACCAGACTACTCGATCAAGCGGTAACATTTCACCGCCGCACAGTTTGAAGCATGATGTGTTTTCGCACAAACATAGTAGAACGAGATTGGCATTACCAAGAGAAGCATTTGGTAAGGCTTCAAAATCCGGTGAGGGCCGTGACAGCGACCCTGAAGCAAGAGGTGCGGGTGGGAAGGTTCAACGAAACCAAACACAGCTCAGAAAATGCAAGACTGGGAATGTTCAACGAAAAGCAAAAGCCATCCAAAACCATCTTAGACAAGAGAAACAACCTTTTCTCCATTTAACAACGGCTTAAAGACAGGAAAAAATGCACGCCGGACATCGTTGTAAAAGTATACGTCTGCAAATGGAAGCGATGAATGAATTTAGTCACCTCAACAGTAAAATTTATGACAACTCTCAGTACAATTTTTCATCGCGGAATAAATCTCAGACAACTTCCCTAGCAGAGTTCATCTCAGATAATGAAGCACATAATCATTTGAACGGTACCGAGGAACAAGTCATACATGAATTCTCAGGCATTTCCTCACAAATGGATAAAAATTGAAATGCCGATTTAAGAAGACTTGATGACGCGACCTCCCATCTACCAAAGCACGAATAAATCGGTTCAACAAATGGCTTAAAAGAGATTGTCAAGAGGAGGCACCAACCAAAAAAATTCACAATAAACCCCGCAACAGTGACTCGGGAACAATACCACAAGTTTCACACTTTGACCTAGTGACTGCCTCTTCAATCTGCTTCGTGCTTGTCCGATGATTCTGCAGAATCTTCAGGTTTAACTGTATCATCCGCCTCGAGTGTCTTGCCATCTGTTGGTACTAAGCTCGGTATACCATCCTTTATCTATCAAGTAATGAATACAATAAGGAACCATGTTAGACGTCAGCTATACAGGCAAAAAACATGCGGACAAGATAGAGTTTTACACAATCATTCACGTTCAGCTGAATACAACCGTTATACAAGGGCGATGGCATCACCATTCATTTATCACAGAGACCGGAGTGATCTTTTATTTTTCAAATCATTTCCGTGTTGGATAAACTGAACAGGAAAAACCAAATATACAGCACATCCTGCTGCCCAGGTAATCCATACTTCAGAAGAAAAAAAACTCGCAACAACAACAACAAAGCCTTATCTCACTGATTGGAGTTGGCTGTATAAATCCTAAAATGCAACTGCGCTCGGTTTTGCGCCAAGTCTTCCGTTAGCTCCAAATAAACCATGTCTTTTCTTAAATCTCTTTTGACACTAGATTACGCAAAATTGTGGCTAGGATTTTTAACATTCCCCATGGATTCCATACACTTCAAAACTGAAGTAGAAGGAATTATACAAGATAACAGCTATACAGGCAACATATAGAGAAGATGAAATTTCTGACAATCGTTCATGTTCTTGCCCTTCAACACGGGACTCCCGGATTACTATGATCGAATTTCGTCTCTGTTCGGCCAGAAGGTCTCACACTCGTTCAAGTTTATACCATTACACCAATCAGTAAAATCCTAGCTCGAGCCTACCTTCTCACACCTCCGAGCCCAACACAAAACCTCTATAATATACAAGGGGCATCACAAATTCTCACAGATAATGGGGAAAATCTCATTTTTAAATTTTTAACCAATTCCAAACCATTGATGGTGTCCAAACCGTGTCTCGAACATGTTTGAGGTGTCTCAGTGTGTCCGACACTCCGACAAATCAAGGTTTCGGAGTGTCCGTGCAACATAGCATATATATAATGTGTTCTACCCAGAAATTGAAAATTCAGAGAAAAATAGAATTACCAAAAAATTAATTAATTGCTGCATAAAAATTAGAATTGGAGTTTGGAACTCACAGGAAAGGAGACACCAATTGCATCACTGATTACCGAATTTGTTTCCTCACAAAACCTATAAAAAAAAACCCAAAAACAAACTAATTAAACCAACTCAAATTACCAAAAATTAAATAAATAAAACAGAGATTAAAAATAATAATTAGAGATTAAAGAAGAAACCTTATAAAATTGAGTAGCTTTACGCTTCCTCTCACCATTTCATCTCTCTTTCTGCTTGGATCTCTCTCGCGCTAGAAAAACGCCACCACTTGTTGCTACGTCACCGTTTTATAAAATTGAAAGCGAACAATTGCATAAAACGACCGCGTTTCGGTTCGAATAAATCTCATTGCCTCCAAAAGAAGCTCTACGGAGCTGCTGCACTTCAAACTACCGAGAGGGATCTCAATGTGCGTTAATGGCGAAAACCAACTGGACTTCGAATTCCGAACGATTCGTTTGGTGGATATCTCGACTGAATGGCAAGGGTTTGCACCCGAGAACTCTTTCGATTCCGGAGCTCTATTTCCCCACACCTCGCTTCCAACCCATCAAAATCCAATCTTCCCTTACCATCCTCCCCATTTTCCTCCTCTTCGTTCGAGCCCTCTGTCAACCGCCACATCTTTTCGCTTCTGGATTCGTGTCAGAGCTTGATCCAGATTACCCAACTGCACGTCCATTTGGTCACCCAGGGCCTTTTCGATTCGTTTTGGGTCCGGAAGTTACTCAAGAGCTATTACGATTTCGGTGATTTCGATTATACTATATGGGTTTTCGGATACATTGACGCTCCAGGTAGATTTTGCGTTAATACAGTTAGTAAGGCGTACTCAGTGAGTTCGGCGCCGGGCCAAGCTTTGGTGTATTTGGAGTGGCTGAGAAATGGGTTTGTTCCCAACAGCTATACGATCGTGCCGGTTTTTGGGTCATGTGCGAAAATGGCGTGTGTTGAATCTGGGAGAACATGTCATGGGCAGGCTGTGAAGCATGGGGTGGACTCTGTGCTGCATGAAGATGTTCAATGAAATGCCTGAGAAGGACTTGGTGTCTTGGAATACAATTCTCGATGGGAATGCTAGCGTAGGTTGTTTGATGAAATGCCTGAGAGAAATGTGATTTCTTGGAACGTTATGCTTGGTGGGTACTGGAAGGGAGGGAAGCCGGTTGTGCGTTGAAGTTGTTTTGGAAAATGGTGGATGTGGGATTGAACGGGAACGAAACTACCATGGTGAATTTGCTTGCGGCTTCCGGTCGATCTGCTAGACTAAATGAAGGAAGATCAGTTCACGGACGTCTAGTTAGCAGATTCTTGGAGTTGAATGTATTTCTTAACACAGCTTTGATTGATATGTATGGTAAATGTGAAAGGGTGCAAGTGGCACGTGTGGTGTTTGAGAGCTCAGCGTATAGGAATCTGGTTTGTTGTAATGCAATGATTTTGGGGCATTGCATTCATGGAAATCCTGAAGATGGATTTAACATATGTAGAGAAATGGTGGGTAGAACAAAGTCGAGCGATGATGAAACAATCCATGAGAAGGATAGTTTGAGGCCAGATGATAATCGGGAAGGAATTATCCCAGATGAAGTAACTTTTGTGGGTGTTCTTTGTGCCTGTGCCCGCGCTGGATTGGTAAGAGAAGCCAGAGATTAATTCAGCCAAATGATCAATGTCTTCCAAGTAAAGCCCAATTTTGCACACTACTGGTGCATGGCTAATGCTTTTGCTGGTGTGGGGCTTACACAAGAGGCAGGGGAAATAATTAGGAACGTGATGGAGTTGTCGAGGACTTGCCACCAGAATCCTTGGGATGGGCTAGTGTGCTTAGTTCGTGTTGTTTCCAAGGACATGCCAAATTGGGAGAACAAATTGCAAAGTCTCTTATTGAACAGGAACCTCAGAACATTGCGTACTATCGGTTGCTGCTGAATGCCTATGCCGTCGCAGGTCAATGGGAGAATGTTACTCGGGTTAAAGAGACGATGAAAGAAAAGAAGTTCGGAAGAATCCCCGGATGCAATCTAGTGGACTTGAATGAAATTGTTCGTGAGCTCAGAGTTGGAAGACATTATCTAGTTGACCTTGTAGAACCCTGACGTTTAACAGCAGACTAACTCTGCACACACAAACTGAAAGTTGGCATCAAGTGCTGAACATGTCAGAAAATGAAGATCGAACGATCGGGAGGACGTGAGCTAAAGCAGCCATGATAATTCCCTTTTTTCGGTCAAACGAGGAACTAGGTTGCTGCTCAGCTTGGCATGCAAAGGATTTTGTGAGAGTGATTCGACGGATTATTTAACAAGGCAAAGAGGTGAATAAATTTTGTATTTGTGACAAAAAGCCTTTGCATTTGCAAAAGGTTTTGGCAATTCCTCGTTTGGGTTTCGTTGGGTTAGACTCTTATCCTTATTTCTGTGAATGCTTAGTAACAAACAAGTTGAAAAAAGTCAGCTTTCAGATCTCTAAGTTTAAATTGTTTCCAGCTTTTTCCCAAATTTCTTCTTTCACAAGCAAGGGCTAGTTTTCATTTAGATGTTTGCAACGGCTGTGTCTTATATTAGTGAGGTGTAATGAGATCAAATGAATTAATGAAATCATTATGCAGTAGCAGCACCTTTTCTCTGCTAAGATCTCAATTTCTAGTTCGTTTTTCTTCATATTTTTCGGTAATCGATCGTCAGAAACGCCAACTCGGAAACGGAAAACACAAGACAATGAGATGTATAATTTGCAAACACTACTTCAAAGTTCAAATAAGAAGTCATCGAGTCTGAGATCAATCTAGCTACAACAGAATACATAGTATGTAAAAGAGACACCACCTATCGCGAGAACTATGTTCAATGCCCATTGCTGCATCTCACGACGGCCAAGATCTTCCTCCTCTTCCTCACCCTCAATCCGGAATCTTCCCCTTGATCACGTCTGCAAGACAACTCTGGCATGTTAGGCCACGTCCAGGTTGGGGATGGGCAAAAGATGATGTTCGAACTTGGAAAATCTACACGGCCAGAATCCAAGCTGTACACTGCAATATCGCTTAACATGCTTCTTAACCGATGGAACTCGTAACTCTTGCTATGAAGAGCCTCGTGAAAATAAATACATCTCCCTTCCACTCCAGGGAAATCTTGAGCAGAAAGAGAGTAGCAACCGTCATCCCCTATCACCAATATTCGATCATCCAGAGCTTGCGCCTCTAGCTTAACCCAGTGCTTCACATGAGCGTGAGCGTCCTGTAAGTTCTGATAAGAGCTATACACTTGGTTAGCACTTGTTATTCATGTGGGAATATTCGAGATCATCATTGACAATGTTTGTGAGAGGAACATGTATATTAGGATTCATTAGCTCGAACAGTCATGATATTACTAGGAGTCTTTCTAGCTGGTATGAATAAGGGAATTCACGGTGATAAGGTTAAGATCAATCAGGATTACTGGTATATGTATTAGGGGCCCTGGACTCTCTCTAAACACCCAAGCTTATAGAAACTCAAACCCCATTCTTGAGGCCTTGCATACTGAAGAGGAGAGGCCTTGCATACTGAAGAGGAGGGTTGCAGAAGAACTCTAATCCCAACGAGCATGTCATCGTCTTCGAGTAAGTGGTTAACTTGGTATTGTGATATAATATTCAGAGTTCATAATCATATTCAATATATATTTTACACGTCCAGCTTAAAAATCTCGAATGTATAGTCTGACGGGTGTCCCTTCAAATACATATCAACTAAAAACAGCTCTCCCAACGACTTCACCAACTTCTTCTTCTCGTCGTCAAGGCAAGAGATTTTTGGTAATGGAGATGCAATCATTTCCGTACTCAAAACCTTCCTTTGTAGAAAATAACATCTTGAAAATCACTGTATTCGTCATCCAACTTCAAAAGGAAGTTGGTGCAGTCTACAACGTCAGCGCCTAGCTCTCCGTAATATAACGTTTCGAACAGATCAATTGCCATGAACGCAGGGAAATCGAGATTCAAGGATGCAGCCACCTTAAAATCACCACGCATCTCCCCACCATAGTCTAGTAGACTATACATTCTTGCAACTTCAAATACCCGAAATTCCAATAAGTTGAATTGTAAGAGTAAACACAGGTTTTACGTTAATACACTAGCCAAGAACACAAGAATTAACCAACTAAATCACAACCGTTGCATCAAGTATGTTCTATATATACAAATACTGAAGTATTCTCAACAATACATACCTGCAAACATGTTCATGGATGAAGAAGCCATGGACGAATCTACACACAACCTTCACCTCTCTGCAAAACTCAATGCTCTCCAAGTTATAGGTAATTGGAACAATAAGAGCGTAATCTTTGTGAGAGCAGGGGCATGTGGTTTTATACTACAAGACCTGATTGCCCTATAACAATCCTACAAGGAATACAAGACTAAATCCTTGTACAAGTATGAGTTCTATTCTCGAGCCAACAATAGAGTTTCCATCCAAACCAAAGTTGAATTAACTCTTATAAACACATTAAGACTTCTTTATACCAATCTAAAATAACAAGGATTATTACTAAACTGCGTGAATCACACTCATAACATTCTCCCACTTGAGTATGATTCACTACAGTAAATAATCATCTCAGATTAATATAAGGGTGATCACACAAGTCTTATATCAATGTTCCTCAATATAAACACAACACTGCTTTCATGTATCAAAACAATGAATTCACAATCTTCTCTGCAATACAATTTGCAGAATCATCTTATAAATCACAAAGTTCAATTCATGTTCGCAGCAATGTGACACAGCTCATGACCAAACTAAAAGTTTACTCACACTCATATTGCCAAAATACAACAAAGTTCATACTTATTCTTTAACCAATATGAATAACTAAATATAATTCATCCAATAGCTTTATCAAAATTCGAAAATATTGACTTAAGAGCTTATATTGAATTATCAAAATGTTTTCTTTGAACAACTAATTACAGATTTATCTGGATGAAAACCTTATTCCACAGCTATCTTCAAGAAGTGTGATAGGCTCTCAATAATAACTTCAACTACTCCCACTTATCAAAAGCATCCAAATGAATTTAATGGCCGGCCTAAAAATAACTTCAACTTCTCCCACTTAAGCATGAGTAGAAAGTACTACACAGCCAATAAAGAAACCGGAGATCTGAGCCTTGGTTCCCGATTCCTCACCAATTGCATAATCTCAGTTTAATCATGTACACCTAAACCATTATGCAAACAGTCTACGTATCAAAAGACAGTCTCAATCCATTCGGAAAAACTTATCTCACATAAACCCAAAATCACTAGTTTCAACAATGGTCAAAATCAGAATAGCAAGCACAACATTTTTGCATTCAATTTTATCCAAACTAATTCAATATCCATCAAGCAAGATCAACTAAAATTTGATAATGTCTGAACATAAAAGCACAAGTCATCTCAATTACAACGAGATAATAAAGATCTCAACTTTTTAACAATATGATTTACATATAATAATTCTTTAACGAGATCGACATGTATCATAATTCAATCTAGTCCAGAAATAAATTGAAAAAAATACTAAATGGCGCTTCAAAATCTCAAACAATTCCATTCAATAGAAAACCCATACTTTGTCAAAATTACAAAATTAGTATCTTAGGAACTTTGAGATCGCATCAGATGTGAATTAAAGGATACATACCAATTAAACACCAAATTTTCATTAAAAGCAGCGGAAGCAAACGAGAAACGAAACTTCCAGACCAAATCTTGTGAATTATTATCAAGTGAGATGAGTTCCACTATCATAGCGAAATAGAATGCATTCTTGTTGACAAGGCTTCACCAAACAATTTATATCGTTCCATACAAGGTATAAATACAATAGCTTTCACATGTTTTCGGTTATACACTATGAATGATATAATATGCCAACCACAAATCATGTGCCCAAAATAATGCACAAGTCGCGTACTAGAAAAGATGCATACATACACATATATATATTTATTTATTTATAAGAAAATAATAATGACAATGAAATCACGACTATTCGAAAAGCTCAACTTTATAGCCGCAAAAATTCACTTGTGACAAACATAAAACATACCAGAATTTTAAGGGAACTTTCATGAAAAAGACTTGGACTAAGTTTATCTTAATAAAAAAACCATGATATAACTTTAATTAATAAAAAAAACTTAAATTTTAATGAAAAACTCTTAAATTTTAATAAAAAAGACAAAAATTTTAAATTTAATGAAAAAGACCTAATTTAATATTAAAAAAAACTGATGCGCGGAAGAGGAAAGAATTGGGAGAGGATGTGCAGATAGTCCTGACGAGCAGCCTTACGAGCTTATTGGTTTCTCCCCATTAGTCGACCCAAAAATAAAGAGAAGAAAGGACAAATGGAAGGAAGGGAGTCGGAATTAATTAGGAGCAGAGAGAAGGGAGTTGAAGATATTCATATCCCTCTCACTGGGGATGTCAACCTGCAATATGGGTTCATATTCTCGACTCTCTTTATCCTTTCCATTTAGCTAATTCTTATTAATATTTCTTTCGGTTAATCTGTCGTGGATTAGCTATTGTTTGTAAAAATAGTATTATATATATGCAAATGCCTAAACCCTACAATGGTATAAAAGCCGAAAGGGATGTTTTGTTTAATTGCCCTTTTTCTGAAGACTTGTATTATGCATAAAGCTATGTTGTTGTATTACTACCCTCGGCAAAGTATTTCGACTAGTCCACTTTGGGAAGTTGGTTGTTTTCCAAACGATTGTATACTGAACACGTAATTACCTATTTAGAGAAAATATATGCATGTGGTTTTCTCTACATGTGTATCAAAGTACATGCATATCTTCCTCACTCAATCTTTACAATCCAATCGGATTGGTTTTGAAGAAAACAAGCTATTTTATTTGCTACAATTAGTCCAACTAATTATTATCAAACCATAGTTAAATTATTGCTTTTAAACGTACTATTGGCTCTATGTTTTGATATAGAATTTGAAAGGGGTATGCATATGGTAATTGATTATGACTGTATTTAAATTATATTGGTTGGTAAGCTTAGTGCTGGTATAGAAGAAGTTAGATGCAGCCATAAAATGTACGAGAAATTACTATGCGATTCGATTCTTGAGTTGTGCTTTGCCATATCCCGAAGGCGGGGTAAGTTAGATATACGGGTATTTGGTGATGTCACGTGTCGATCTTGGACGTATGTCGGGATTGGGGCATGACACGATGGACCAGCCGCTTTGACACCGCCGACACGCACGCGTGGACGTAGCTCTGGGATGATAAAGTCAACGTCAGTATCTTGCGGACGTGCTTCTTGCTCACCTGCTCATCCTCATGCAACATCACTTTGGCGATCGCAACCTCAAGGTCTAGTTTCTAGGTTTTTTCTTGGGCTCTTACTTTGGCTTTTGCACAATAGTGGACTCTAACTCTTTAGGAAAAGAAAAAAAAATCTTTAGTTTAACTAAGTAAAAATAACTAGTTTAAATGTTTTTAAGAATAAAAATAGAATAAAATTTTAGAAAGGAGCATTTTAGTAATCATATTGATTTTTATTCCGTTTCAGTTGATTTAGTAAACAACTTCTATGAATTCAGTTTCATTCCTATTCCGATTCCTGAACATTTAAGTAAACAGTTTCAACAAGAATTCGATTATGATTCCTCCTCAATTCAATTCCTCATCAATCCAATTCCTCATATTTTAAGGAAGAAAGAGGGGATGAACGGAACACAATTGGGAATGGAAGGAGGTTTCTAGAATGAGAAAATAGACAGAAGTAATAATAAAATATTACTAAATATTTATTAAATAATGTAAAATATTAATAAATATGAATTAAATAATATAATATTAGAATTTGTTATTAGTCCTAATACTACACAACAAAAGCACCTTTAAAATCTCCTATATAAAGAGCTACTGCAACAAAAGCACCTTTAAAATCTACAACAAAAGCACCTTTAAAATCTCCTATATAAAGGACTACCACAACAAAAGCACCTATAAAATCTACAACAAAAGCACCTTTAAAATCTCCTATATAAAGGACTACCACAACAAAAACACCTATAAAATCTACAACAAAAGCAGCTTTAAAATTTCCTATATAAAGGGCTACCACAACAAAAACACCTAAAGGGCTACCACAACAAAAACAACTTTAAAATCTACAACAAAAGCAGCTTTAAAATTTCCTATATAAAGGGCTACCACAACAAAAACACCTTTAAAATCTACAACAAAAGCAGCTTTAAAATCCCCTATATAAAGGGCTACCACAACTAAGGCACCTTTAAAATCCCCTATATAAAGGGCAACCAACTTCAAACGTTTCTCTCACTCTCATACGTCTCTTGATTTCTCTTCATTCTCCGCTTTTAAATTTAGTTTGTTTCTTAGTCTTGATACTACACAACAAAAGCACCCTTAAAATCCCCTATATAAGGGGCTACCAACTTCAAACGTTTCTCTCACTCTCATACGTCTCTTGATTTCTCTTCATTCTCCGCTTATCTGTTTTGTGCTTTTAAATTTTCGACCACCTTTTTTGTTCTAAAGTAGCATTTCCAACCCTAAATTTCTGGTCTACTTTTTCTTAGCGTTTCGTAGTACGTAATTTTTTCTGCGATGAACAAAGTTCAACAGCATAGTCGTTTTGCATTCTTTTGCCTCCTCTCCATACTCCCCACCTTAGTTTTCGGAGAGTGCACCTGTGAAAAAGGAGAAGGGGATGGGGACCGGAACAAAACTGAAGCTCTAAGGTACAAAATTGGGGCGATTGCATCCATCCTAGTCGCCGGTGCTCTTGGTGTTGGTATCCCAATTCTTGGGAAGACCATTCCTGATTTACATCCTGATAGGAACATATTCTTCATCATCAAGGCCTTTGCAGCCGGGGTCATATTGGCCACTGGGTTCATCCACGTGCTCCCCGGATGATTTTGAGAGCTTGACGGACCCGGCTCTTAAGGAGGACCCGTGGGGGAAGTTTCCCTTCACTGGGTTTGTGGCCATGATGGCTCCCATTGGGACTTTGATGGTGGATTCTTATGCCACCTCTTATTACAGTAGGTCTCTCTTCAAGAACAATATTGATGGAGACGAAGAGAAGGCCCAAGAGCATAAGGGTCACGTGCATGTTCATACTCATGCAACTCACAACCATGCTCATGGCGCAGTTGACACTTTACCCTCAACAGAACTTCTTAGGCACATAGTGATTTCACAGGTAATTTTCTTTTTTATTTTATTATTATTATTTTTTTTTTGTGATTAGTGGTGATTTTTTTTTTAATTAGTCATTTAATTTTGATTTTTGTGGCAGGTTTTGGAGTTTGGGGATTGTTGTGCATTCTGTGATTATAGGAAATTCACCACTAATCACAAAAAGATAAAAAAAAAAATAAATAAATATTCAAAAAGAAAATTACCTGTGAAATCACTTTGTGCCTAAGAAGTTCTGTTGAGGGTAAAGTGTCAACTGCGCCATGAGCATGGGCGTGAGTTGCATGAGTATGAACATGCACGTGACCCTCATGCTCTTGGGTCTTCTCTTTGTCTCCATCAATATTGTTCTTGAAGTGAGACCTCCTGTAATAAGAAGTGGCATAAGAATCCACCATCAAAGTCCCAATGGCAGCCATCATGCATGTCCACAACCCCAGTGAAGGGAAATTTCCCCCACGGGTTCTCCTTAAGAGCCGGGTCCGTCAAGCTCTCAAAAGCATCCGGGAGCACGTGGATGAACCCAGTGGCCAATATGACCCCGGCTGCAAAGGCCTTGATGATGAAGAATATGTTCCTATCGGGATGTAAAGCAAGAATGGTCTTCCCAAGAATTGGGATACCAACAACGAGTGCACCGGCGACTAGGATGGATGCAATCGCCCCAATTTTGTACTTTAGAGCTTTGGTTTTGTTCCAGTCCCAATCCCCTTCTCCTTTTTCACAGATGCACTATCCGAAAACTAAGGTGGGGAGTACGAAGAGGGGGCAAAAGAATGCAAAACAACTATGCTGTTGAAGTTTGCTCATTGCAGAAAAAATTATGTACTACGAAATGCTAAGAAAAAGTAGACTAGAAATTCAGGGTTGGAAACACTACCTTATAACAAAAAAAGTGGTCGAAAGTTTAAAAGCACAAAACAAATGAGCGGAGAATGAAGAGAAATCAAGAGAGGTATGAGAGTCAGAAACGTTTGAAGTTGGTAGCTCTTTATATAGGAGATTTTAAGAGTGTTTGTTGTGTAGTATCAAGATTAAGAAACAGACTAATAACAAATTCTAATATTATATTATTTAATTCATATTTATTAATATTTCACATTATTTAATAAATATTTAGTAATATTTTATTATTACTTTTGTCTATTTTCTCATTCTAGAAACCTCCTTCCATTTCCAATTGTGTTCTGTTCATCCCCTCTTTCTTCCTTAAAATATGAGGAATTGGATTGATGAGGAATTGAATTGAGAAGGAATTAAATTGAGGAGGAATCATAATCGAATTCTTGTTAAAACTGGATGCTGATTAGCGTCATCAAAAATTGGGAAATACTAATGGAATCATAATCAAATAGTCTGGTTATGCAATGGAAGTTACAACTTGTCTATTGTATGAAAAATACTTTCTTTTTTTTTTTGATCTCTTCATACAAGATTTTTTTGATCCCTTCTTGCTTATTCTTTTCCTGAACTTTTGTGTTCTCAATCTCCAAATTTGCATCGAATTATTAATTCAAACAGTGGTTATTTCGGGTAACAGAACTTCTTTGCAACTCAATGCAAGATTGGTTATTTGCTATACAGTCAACCTCTAATCGGAACCGTTAATCTAGCCGATCCCTCTACCATGCATATATGCATCAATGTCAACATCCACCAGTTCTTTTCCAATTTCTACTTTGAAATTATGATAGGTGGAAAATGCAAAGCAAGTTCCTTTTACTACGGAAAAAATTGATCCCCTCATTTTCCCATGTGAAGGAAAAGTCAGCAGAAATCTTCAAGGAGCGATTGAAAATCTACGAAGGAAAATCCAACTGGTAAAAAACTGAAAAATAAATAAAATATTTTAAATACTCTTAAAGAGGAAATGACATGGAGGATTGAGATGGTCATTTTTGGCTAAACTCATATTTCCACTTTCAAAACTCCAAAAGTACGATAATAAGTGCCGACTCATAATACACCTTTGCTTTTGAGAATCTCAGTTTTTTTAAGGGGTCTGGAAGTGCTTTTATTGATCATGTGTTTGTTTTGTTGAAGGGTTCTGAGAAGTGCTTTTATTGGAGTGTATGTTTGTCTTGTTGAAGGGTTCTGAGAAGTGCTTATGGGTTGTCAGATCTTATGGTCCGTTTGGATGTGCTTTCTTCATGCAGACTATACATGCAATATATCTAGGGTGTCAAACTAAATATATGCATGCAATATATCTTGTTGAAGGGTTCTAAGAAGTTTAATATTATTTTTTTAGTTTAATATTATTTTCTATTGTAGTAAGTTTAATATTAAACTTACTACAATAGAAAATAATAACAACAAACAAACTCAAAGCTAATTGAAGAAAAATTAAACTTTCCCCAGCTCAAATGTGGGGTATCATACTCATGTTAGGATGTCATACTCCATATATACTAAAACTGAGTTAAGCAGCTCCACTGCTACTAAGCACTGTGAATTGGCAAAAATACCCTTACCTTATTGTGCACTTCACTTCTTAGCCCACGGCCACCACCATTTCATCTAAATTCAACATGCGTGAATCTTCCCGCACCCCTGGACTCACCACCCTACTCCGCGAAGTTTCCAAAACCCGCTTAACTAAAGGTATGCGAATTTGGTTTTCTGATTATGTTGAAGTTGAATTAATATGTTTGATTTCCAGACCACTGCTACCACCAAATCCCTCAGTTCTCTTTCAACTACTTCTCAAAACTTTCATATCGGTATATCAACTCAACTCCCAATCTTTTTCAAACCCAAAGATTGATTATTTTCCTCTTTTTCTCTGTTTTTATCTTCAATTATAAGAAAAATAAAAAATAAAATCTTTGCTAAAAAAGTTTAAATTTTTCTCGGTTCCCTGAGATTTTCTCTCTGGGTTTTGGTCCTCAGGTTATGAATTTAAAAGGTTTTGGTTTTGAAAGGAGATGGAGATCCGTGACGATGAGCAGAGTTTGTAGCTTTGTGAATGATCCCGTTGGAGCGTTTATTTTCAACTCCGATGATTTATAGGGTTTTTGGTGCGTGAAGTTTTGGAGATTTGGTTTAGGATTCTGGGTAAGCAACTGCCACCTCTGTTCAACTTAAATTTAGTTTTCTTTTTTCTTTTTCTTTTTTTCCCTCAAGTTTGTTTCATGGAATGAATGTTTGATGCTTTGCTAAATGGTTGTTAAGAAAAGCTAGAACTTTAATAGTAACTGGAATAGTTTTGAATTTTTTTTATATTTTATTTTCAAGCCTTGAGAAGTAAAGACTGTTTTATAATTAAAAGTGTGAGTTGATGATTACATGAGCCCCTTATCATGAAGAATTTAAATAATGTGATGTCTCATGACATGATTATGTGAATGTTTATTAATTTAGTTGTGAACCAAATAATGCAATCATGTCTCATGATTATGTGAATATTTATAAAATTAATTGTGAACCAGAACCTGGATATAGGTTTCAAGTTTTTCTGTACTTTGGAATTTTTTTTTTCACAATTCAACCACAGAGAAGTATAAGAGGTCTAACAAAATAAATCAGACGACACAATATCATACTTCTGGCTCTCCCCAGAGCAGAGCGCGGGCATTTTTACTAGTTCAATACTAATTGACTGAATAGTAAAAGAGAGTAAATTGGGATTGTATATGGTTTACTGGTTGCATAATGTGCTTGTAAGGAAGGGTGGTGTATAATGTGCACTCGAGTAGGAACGACAGAGAGATGGCAACAATCTTCTAGTTCAAATTCCCCTCCACCGATACGTTTGTATTAAAAATAAAATAAAATCTTTGAATCCCTAATCTGAATCCCCCAATTCCTAAATTAGGGACTTATACAAAATCAGAAATTCGACATCACTTGAACCAGACATAAATCAGAAACCCCTAAATCTTAAATCTTTAAATCAGAATCTAGAAACAAAGCCAGAAATTAATAAATTGCGAAAAAAGTAAAAATAAAGAAAGACTTACAGAGGCGGCACTATCCCCGAAGAGAAGTTTCTCGTTTCCGAAAACAGAGAATCATTTTTCGGTCGCCCGTTTCCGGAAACAGGTTATTGAATTGGCACCGACCGCAGCTTCTCAAAGGAATTGTCTGGCGAATGATCACTTCCGGTTCGGCAGGTGTTTGGCGGTGCCGAGATTAGAGTACGGTGGTGGACAGCCGCGACAGAGGACATCTGATGGGGTGAGACCTCATCGTC